TTTGCAAAGTATGATGTCCTTTTCCAGGGACTGAAACATCTATCTTGATACCATTTTCAAAGGATACTTCTAAGAAGCATTCTGGCTGCACTTGTTCAGACACAGATTTGCTTGTTCTTCTGCCAATCCATGTCACGTTAAATATTTGTTTGGAAATGTCATAATACAAATGCATCAATTCTCCTCCAGTTTTCCTTATCCATTGTCCAACCTTCACATGCATAGGAGGCAATTGGAAACACTGTGGCTGGTGTCAGTTATGCCTCAGCATTCCAAGTGACATCCTGCCCTGAACACTTCAAAAAAATCTTGTCCAGAAAATTCTCCTAATGGAATATGGGGATTGTCTTCACTGCTGCTTGCATGAGGACTGATTGTGGGTCCAATAAAGCTTTTCTCCATTGTTTTCACGATGTTGTTTATCCATCCAATTGTAAGGATTTGGCTTTCCTTTACATTGCGTTGCAATCCATACTGAATGCTGTCTTTCATTTTCATTACCAAGTAATTTGAGTCCAACTCATTTTTGCAAACAAAATTGTGTCAACTGTATATTAAAAGTTGTTAATAAACCTTTCTTCCATTTTGAGACCACATTCTTGTTCCTGTAGTCCAGTCTCTAAAATTATTTTCTCACTATACAGATTGATAAATATGGTGAAAGGTTACAATCCTTACACACACCTTTTCTGATTTTAATCTTTGAAGTAATACCTTATTGTGTTCAAATGACTCCCTCTAGGTCCATACATGGGTTTTTCATGAACACAATGAAAATTTCTGGGATTCCTATCCATAGTGTGTTATGGTTCACACAAAAAAACAACCTGTGCATAGTCAGTAAAATACAAGTAAATAACTTTCTGATATTCTCTGCTGTTAATCCAGGTTCATCTGAAGTTAGCCCTGATATCTCTTGTATCATGTCCTCTTCTGGATCCAGATTGAATTTCTGGCACTCCCTATTAATATAATGTTGCCGCCATTTTTAATTATCTTCAGCAAATTTTGACATAGGTAAGATATTAATAACATTAGTTGATGATTTTCACATTTTGTTAACTCATCTTTCTTTGGAATGGGAACAAACATGGATTTTTCCTAGGTTGGTAAAACCTGGGATATCCAACTGTATGTATTCAATCAAATTTTTGACAATTTCCACTTTTCCTTGATTCATACTTTGTAAATTCCATGTTCTGATTATGAATATGTTCGCAGCTATTTATTCTCATTCTGAGTCATGCTTCATCAGCAGATAAAGGTGCTCCAACGTTAGTCCAGCCACATTATTCAGTTTAACTCGACTTTGAGAAGGCAATTCTTCTGCAGTCATGTTTTCAGGGCCTCCCAACATGCAGGGTTCCTCTTCCAGCACTATATCTGACAATATTTGTCTGCTTTGCATAAGGTTTTCAGTGACTATCCCTCCGAAGGGGATATTTCAAAACCCTTTCTTTGTCAGGAAATCTTCTAAAACATGAGTATCTGAAACCCTGGTGGCATAACTTCCAACACCACAATACCCAAGCCACCACGTTATGACAAACTGAGACCAGTGGTGGACAGACAAAAAAATGCTCACAGAAAAATAGATTAATCACTGAAAATGTAAATTAGTACATTTCTCATTAACTATCTCATGGCAGTTAATAGCTAAATTTAGGTTTTAATTGACTACATACCCCTCAGAACATGTATAAACAACTTTTGCTCCGTATACAAATTCTTTTCCTACTGTCAGCTCAAAAGAGCCAAAGGGAGTGTCTCCGGGATGGCCACAGGGCTTCCCTAGAATCAGAAAAGGGAAAAATTAGTACACAGTTAAAAGAAATATATGCTATGTAGGTGTTTCAGGACAAGGATATTTGATATGATGTTAGAGGATGGCACTGAAGATATGGAAACATTTTAAAGTACAGATTTTTGTATTTAAATTAGTTTGTATGTTTGCTCTTTTGAAGTTTTCCAGATCAGAACCCTTTAATAAATATAGTGTATTATTTTGCATGTAAATGATAATGTTGATTAAGCCAGCATTGCTACAATATCAATTTTTCAATATTTTTAGAAGTTAAACAAACGTATAAAGTACTTACTCTGACATATCCTGGATGGATAAAGAGACACCCATTTTCCATTCCGGCATTCCATTACAATAGTTCCAAGAGTTCGAAATCCAGGGCGGCATTTATATATGGCCTGTTTACCTTTTGGATATGTTTGGTCAAGCCAGGAACCTGTCAGAATTTCTAAGTCTTTAGTTGGAGGAGGTTCTTTACAATCTGCAAATGATGAAAATATTGCTTTGATTGATGATGAAAATTATGATATATCAAATATAACTTTGTTTTAAAAATATGTATGCACTTACAGGTCCTTCCAAATGATGTTGCACTTATCGTATAAAAATTGGAACTACATCATATTTGTAAGATGCCCAATATGTAAAAATAGCCAAAATAATATCCCAGTGCAATGAATGCAGTTTATATTATTTTTAATTACTAAAATACATTCCATTATTTATTCATTAATTCAAGAAATTTTTATTTAGCATTGTTTTAAGTTTGAAGGAGTGCTGATAGCATTATGGGCTCAGCAATGAATCCACATGTGGTGATAACTCTGAATGTCAATGGCCTCAACATGCCCGTTAAAAGAAAAAGCTTAGCAGATTAGCTCAGAAAACATAACCCATTAATCTGTTGCCTGGAAGAGATGCATCTTAAGTCCGTAGACAAAAGAGAACAAGAATAAAAGGCTGGCAGAAAATATACCAGGAAAACAGCAACTTTAAAAAAGCTGGAGTTACAGTCCTGTCTGAAAAAAATTGACCATAGGGTGCAAACCATAGCAAGAGACAAGGAGGGGCACTGTATAATGCTCAAAAGACCAGTAGACCATGAACCAGTGAGCACAGTAAATATATATACGCCTAATGAGAGATCCATGAAATTCGTCAAATTATTCAATAGATGAAAAAGAAATCACACATTCAACAATCATAGTAGATGAGTTTAATACACCACTATCAGAGACAGACAGATCACTTGGAAAGAAGTTCAGCAAGGAGACTACAGAGCTAAGTACTATAATTAGGCAACTGGACTTGATAGAAGTTTTCCAACCAAATGCATAAAAACTCACATTATTTTTCATTGCACATGATTAATTTTTGAAAATAGACCACATGCTGGGACATAAGTTGAGCCTGAGTAAACTCAAGCACATTCAGATCACTCAGACGTCCCGCTCGGACCCCCACACCATAAAGCTGGAGCTCAATACAAGGACAACCAGGAAAACAAGAGCAAACAATTGGTGGAAGAATAACGATCTTCTGCAACATGAACGGATGCTGATCCAGATAAGAGAGAAAATTAGGAAGTTTCTAGAAAATAATGAAAATGAGGCTACATTGTACCCAAACCTATGGGATACAGCAAAAGCAGTTATCAGAGGGAGCTTGATAACAATGAATACATAGATGAAAAAGGAATAGCGACTTATGACTGATAGGCTATCACAAAACCTCCAGCAACTAGAACAGAGTCAACAGAACTCCTCCAATAGCAAAAGAAAAGAAATAAAATCAGGGCAGGGCTAAACAAGTGTGAAGATAAGAGAACAATGCAAAAATTCAGTTCAGCAAAAATCTGCTTCTTTGAAAGGATCTACAGAATTAAAGACCGCTGGCAAGCCTAACCAAGGAAAGGAAGGGGCAAACATCAATAGCCAGCATGAGGGATGAAACAGGGGAAATCACCATGGACCCCAACCAGATTAAAAGAATAATTGCAAAGTACTGTGAAATTCTGTACTCCAATGAGTTCAATAATGTGGAAGACATGGACAAATACTTGGATAAACAATCCCTTTCTAGATTATCCCAGATAGGTGTCAAGAACCTCAACAGACCCATAGCAAAGGAAGAAAAAGACATGGTTACCAAGAAATTACCAATGAAAAAAGTTCCTGGACCAGACGGCTTTACAGAATTCTACCAAGCATTCAGGGAAGAGCTGACATGGGTCCAACACAAATTATTTCAGAGCACATAAAAAGATTGGCAAACTCCCAAACTCATTTTACAAAGCTGATATGACATTGATACCCAAACAGGGAAAGGATCCCACAGGAATATAGACAGTTTATTCCCCAGGTTGTCCTCCCATATTATACGACAAACTTAAGGTGCTGCTTGTTAACAAATGGTTAATGTCTATACACTTGTTGGTCAGCTGCCTAAAACTTATCTCTCTGAGGGTATCAGCCATCCAGGGCAATCAGATCCTACTGTCTGCCCCACCCTAGATGGGACCCAATCTCTGTGATAAGGATAATGGCTTATTCCCCTGAAGGAGAGCCCAAAGACAAGGTCAAGCCAACTCAAGGAGGGTCAGTGTTGGCTGCCATCTTGACTTTAGAGTCTGCCCATCTTGTAACATATATGCCCCTCTGACCTCCACTTCCTATTGCGGTACAGCCTAGTTCATCCCCTTCCTGTTATGTGTATGCCTATTGTACAACACCTTCCTGTTACATATGTAATTATCAGTAATTACGGGGGGCTTGCATGGCCACTAGTGTATATAAACTTTGGTTGGAAATATGTTTGCTCTCTCTGTACAGACCTGGCTGCTGAGATGATGGCTGTCTGGGAGGTGAGAAATTGCATGCCTTATCTTGTTTGATATCTCTTTACTTATACCCCTCAATTATACAACCGCCCTTTGAACCTGTTCAATTGTGGGGGCTGGTACCCCATAATAGACCAATATCTCTAATGAGCATAGATTCAAAAATCCTTAACAAAATATTGGTGAATAGACAACAAAAGTATATAATACATAGTATCCATCAGATGGGATTCATTCCAGGGATGCAGGGATGGTTTACCATCCAAATATCCATCAATATTATTTACCACATTGACATAAGAATCACATGATAATATCAATAGACGCAGAAAAAGTATTTGAAAACATCCAACACCCATTTTTAATTAAGACACTCAAGAAGAAAGGAATGGAAGAAGAATTTCTCAAGTTAATACAAGCTATCTACAAAAAGCCAACAGCCAACATCATAGTCAAAGGAGAAAAGATTAAAACAATCCCATTGAAAAAGGGGACCAGACAAGGATGCCCCTTGTCCCCACTTTTATTCAACATCATACTGGAGGTCCTAGTTAACAACATTAGGCAGTGTAAGGGCATTAAATGTATCCGACTGGGAGAGGAGGAAGTGAAATTATCGTTATTTACAGATGACAGGATTCTATACATTGAAAATCCCCAAAGCTCCCCACAGTAAGAGTAATGACAGTGATAGAGAAATATGGAAGAGTGGCAGAATACAAGATCAATAAACAGAAGTCTATTAGTTTGCTACATACATCAGAAAAGACCATGGAAGAGGAGATAAAATAGATAATATCCTTCACAGTAGCCAAGAACAAATTGAAATATTTAGTCATATATTTAACCAAAAACCAGAAGACTTATACACGAAAAACTACAGTACCCTACTACAGGAAACTAAAAGTAACTTCCAAAAAATGTAAGACTAGCCCATGCTCATGGATTGGAAGACTCAATATAATAAAGATGTCAATCTTACCCAAGGCAGTTTGTAAGTTTAACTTTATCCTGATTCAAATACCAACAACCTTCTTTAAAGAATTAGGAAAACAGATCACTAATTTCATATGGAGTGGGACAAATCTCTGAATTAGCAGAAAACTCCTCAAGAAGAAGGAGAAAGTCGGAGGGCTCACCTTATCTGGTTCTAACTCCTACTACACAGCCACTGTGGTCAAAATAGCATGGTATTGGAATAATGACAGATACTCAATGGAAAAGAAAAGAAACCGCAGAAATAAACCTATTAGCATATAGACAAGTGATCCTTGACAAGGGACCAAAAAGCATCAAGTGGAAGGCGGATGCCCTCTTTAACAAGTGGTGCTGGAAACTATTTCCTGTAGGAAAATGCACAAAAACTCCATTTAAATCACGGACCTAGAAGTAAAACCCCAAACTATCATTACCATCAGTGAAGGAATTGGGACAAAACGAAGAACTTTGACCCAGGGAATACAAAGGCTAACTGCAATAGGGAAGGGTACACACACAGGTCAACCCAAAATCAACAAGTGGGATAGACTAAGATTTCACCAAGAGAGTAACAAGAGAACCCACAGACTGGGAGAGGATTTTTAGCAATGACACAGCAAAGGGCTTATTACTAAAATCGACTATACCCAGCTACCCTGCAAAAAGAGGAAAACAATTACCCCCCAGGGAAGTGGGCAAAATACATGAAAAGAAGTTTTGCTAGGGAGGGAACCTCAATGGCAAATGAACATATGAGAAAATGCTCCCAATCATTAGGCATCAGAGAAAAGCAAAGTAAAACAACGATGAGATACCACCTAACACCCTTGAAAATAGGCCAAATCAGAGAGCAATGGGAGAGGATGTGGTGAGATAGGAACTCTCCTCCACTGTTGGTGGTAGTGTAGATACAGAAAGCCTCTGTGGAAAGCAATCTGGCACTATTTAAAGCAAATGGAAATGGAGTTAGCCGATGACTCAGCTACCCCTCTACTGAGCATGTACCCAGAAGAGGTCAGAAATAGACCAGACCAGTCATCTGCACTCCAGTGTTTATTGTGGCAAAATTCACAATTGTAAAGATTTGGAAACAACCTAAATTTCCATCAATAACGGGTGGATTAGAAAACTCTGGCACATACCTTGTTTCCCTGAAAATAAGACAGTGTCTTATATTAATTTTTGCTCCCAAAGATGCGCTAGGTCTTACTTTCAGGGGATGTCTTATTTTTCCATGAAGAAGAATACAGTACACATTTATTGTTGAACAATAACAAAAAAGAAATATATTACCCGTATATAGTATGGTAGTAGTTGTCACCACAAACCAGCATAACCAGACAAACTGTGAATCCTACAGTATCAAGAATTTCTTGTTACTCCTGCCCCAGGCGACTCCCTGTCAAATTGTGAGTCAGCCAGACTCCATCAGGGCAGAGCAAGCAGCAGGCGGCAGCTTGTCCTGGCCAGCGGCACAGGCTCTCTGATTAAAAGATACCTCGCATTTCCTGTCTGCTCTGGTTGTGCTGTGGCCAAAAGTGAGCTGCGTGGTGGTGCTCACCGCTATGGTCCAGAGTCCAGAGTTACAGTAGCTTTGGGGGGCCTTATTATATGGGAGGCCTTATTATCGGGGAGGTCTTATTTTCAGGGGATGCCTCACTTTC